TAAACTGAAAGTGAAACTGTGAAAGTGAAAGTGAAACTGAATCTTTGATCAAAGCTTAAACTTAACATCTACTTTAACTCAAACGATGACATTTACTTAAAACTGTGAAAGTTGACATTTACTTAATCATGAAACCAAACATAAGTACATAACTAACTAAACTAAAATACATAACTGAAACTGAACTCAAGTAAGAACATGCAACTCAAACAATGAGTTAGTTACACACTTAACATATACTTTATCTCAAAGTCTCAAACGATGACATTTACTTAAACGTGAAACAGTGACATTTACTCAATCATGAAACCAAACATAAGTACATAACTAACTAAACTAAAATACAGAACTGAAACTGAACTCAAGCTAAGAACATGCAACTCAAACAATCAGTTAGTTACACACTTAACATCTACTTTAACTCAAAGTCTCAAACGATGACATTTACTTAAACTGAAACTGTGAAAGTGAAACAGTGACATTTACTCAATCATGAAACCAAACATAAGTACATAACTAGCTAAACTAAAATACAGAATTGAAACTGAAATCAAGCTAAGAACATGCAACTCAAACTAAAATACAAAAGCTGCAACTCAAACTAAAATACAAAACCTGCAACTCATAACTGTCTGAACCAAACTAAAACAAAAGTCTGGACTAAAACATAATTGTAATAAGTTAAACTAAAAAACAGAAAATGAACTTAAGTCAAAAAGAAAAGCGTGTAACATCTTAAAGCAAACCCAAAAACTGAAGTAAAGTTTAAAATTCCAACATAAACCTGAACTTAAAGTCAAATCCAAACATGAATATCAAATTTAAAATAAATTCTGCAACTTATTCTTCTTCTGCATCATCCACAAGCGATTGGAATAAAGGTAGAGTCTCATCTTCACCATCAAATTTTTCATCTTCCTCAACAAATATCACAGAAACTAACAATGTTAATTCATAGACTATGAGTGTGTGACTATAAAACTTATGAAAACAACTTACTTACCATTTTCATAAGATTCAAAACCTTTTAACTAATTGCGACAACATATTAATGCTTGAACATTTCTCGGTAAAAGACGACTTCTATACTTGCTTAGAACTCGAGTTCCAATGCTAAAAGATGATTCAGCCGCAATTGTTGTGATAGGAATGCTTAGAATATCACTAGCCATGAAAGCCAATTTTCCAAAACATGGACTGTTATCTTTCCAATATTTGAGAATATCTAAACTCTCAAACCCTTTTACGCTCATTGCAACGCCGACTTTCCATTGGCAGCAACATTTGCTTTGCGAAAAGCAAAGAAATCCTATAACATTATCAAAAGCTTATGAATTTATAATCAAAACATAAGAAATAAAAATAACAAAACATAAACATAAGATATCATCTCTGTATCTTACCACAACTGCAAATCAACAAACCAAAAACCAACAGTCTAAAATCTGCAACCTAACTAACCAAAAGACTGCAAACTAACTAGCCAAAAACATGCATATTAGCAGTCTTAAACCTGCAAATTTACTAACCAAAACCTGCAAATTAACTAACAACAATCTTTAACAATTAACAAAACAGAACATAACAAACTTACATTGTAATTGCTAAAATTTCTTTGTTAAGGTCCATCATTCTGTGTAATATCTTCACACGAGTTTGGTGTAGGAGATGCAGCATTAGACTTGTTCTCGTAGACTTGAAAAAGTTAACGTAGCTGAGCACGCAAATGTTCCATTCTTTTCTCACAAGTATTGATATCGAGTTTTGCAAAACAAAATTATGTAAGTGTTAGCTTCAACTTCGGATCAAATACCGTAGCCATTGCAAATACATCACTTACTTCTGTCCAATATGTGATACACATATAGCCTTCATGAGTGATTGCACTCCACAAATCAGTACAGAAGCTTATCCTTCTTGGAACTTGAGCCAACTCTCTCTTTAGCTTATCTGTCTCAGTCTCATAAAACTTATAGACATCTGCTGCGGCTGTGTTTCGACTTGATACAGGTCAAATTGAAACCTAAAGCCTACTCTCTCAATAAGAGATCAATTGCAGCACTTAAGGGTCGAATTCCACAAAGTTCTTTTGTTCACACAATAAGTTATAAGTTTCGAAATTATGCTAAATAAATTAATTGGAATTAAAATAAAACAATAGCAGGCAATGATTTCAGGTGAAAATATCAATAGATTAAAGCGTCAGGTTTAGGGAAATTCTTAGGAAATAAACTAATAGTAAATCTAGCAAATTAATTAGGATTATTTAACGAACCCTTCTAGAACTCAAAACACTAATGAATAGCTAACCACCTCTCGATGCGCTAAGTAACTAATCTAATATCAGTAATTCCACCTCTCGATGTAGATTCCTAGATCTAGACTAGCATTAAACTCAAGTTTGATATGTTCACAAATTCTCCTAGACCAACTCTTGATGCATCTAGAAATATTTGCTCATCTAAGGTAGTTCCAGTAACAGGTGCCCTCTCGGATCAAATACCTATTATCCTATGATCAAGTTCTAGTTAGCTACTCTAGAACTAGCATTAAGAACAACCTAGATGAAGAACTCTATGGATTAATCCTAACAGGTAATCGATTTACTAGTTCATCTAAATCCCTAATGAGAATCCCTAAACCTAACAGGGAGATTACTCAGACATGATTAATGAAACAGAAAACATGTTTGAATAAGATTGCAATAAGAAATTAAAAGAAGAAAAGAGTTTAGAATAAATATTCTCTTTAACAGGGTATTGAAATCTCTGAAAGTAGCTCTCTCCAATTATATTCCAACGGGTTCAAGCTTAGAGAATTACAAAATCCAAAGACAAGATAATGAAATAGAAAAACCCTAAAAACTATTTATAAAGTCTCAAAAACGTGCAGGGACTAAAATTGCAAATAGGAAAGTCTTCTGGGTAAATTCTGCGGGCTTTAAAATTCTAAACCGTCGAGACTTCTTGTTGGGCCGTGTGTGCTGACGAGCGACACCAAGGGTGTCGGTCGACACTCATGCCTTGGTTCGATCCGAATTTGTCTCCTCAGCTCCAAATCTTCGGTTTAGCTCCAGAATGATTCATTTTCTCTAATATTGTCCCGAACGTGTAAAAACCTGAAAAAACTCAAAAAGACACTAGAAACAACAAAAAGACTCTAAAACTGACACATAAATCACGGTTAAAACCGCTAAAACCCGTGATATATCACGACTGATAAACTTCACATCTGCATTCAAATACTTCCAAGTTTCTCTAACACTCTCATACTCCATAGAAGTAAATGGAAGATCATGCTGGATCATTGTCTTAGCTACACATTCCCGGAAGACAGATTGATCTATCTTTCTAGCTTGCAATTTAGCTTCCGCATTTACCATCATCTGACCAACATCACCATTTCTAGGCACAAGCTTACATTTTTTCAAATGACGTCTGTATGTGTTTGTATCATTTTTGTGTGCATCATACGCATAATCTGACTTGCAATGGTTGCACATTGCTCTTTCTACACTTTTTCCCAAATAATCAACCTTTTTAACCACTGTGAAATCTTCCCACACATCCAAGTATTGTCTTCTCTTATTTGCTTTCGATGACTTACCCTTGTCATCATCATCATCATCATCAACATCATCATGAACATCATCATCGTCAATAAGATCATCATCTTCTTCATCATCACTAACCTCAAAAACTTTTCTCTTCTTAGTAGATGCTTCAGCTTCATCCCTCTTTTTTCTTTTTTTGCGTATTAGACCGTAGCTTCAAATGTTTATGATGTTGCTGTAATTATTCCAACAGAAGCTTCAGATGTGCCTGTAAAAGTTCCAACAAAATCTTTCGTTGCTACCGATATAGATCCAACAGAGGATCCTGTAGAAGGAAGAAAAGGAACAGAAGCTGTAGATAAAATGGAAGGTCCTTCTGATGCCAAAGTCGCTGATAAAGAGGAAGATGTCCGTAATTCAAATGAAGGTGATGGTGAGGTAGAAGTGAGTAATTCAAAAGAAGGTGGTGAGGAAAAAGAAGTGGGAATAATTGATGTTAATGAAGAAGAGAGACACATAGATGCTGAGAGGGGAGAAAGATGTAGTGATGATGAGGAAGAAGAGAGAATCATTGATGCTGAGGAAAGCGAAAGTGGTAGTGATGAGGAGGAAGAAGAGGGAACCAATGTTGTTGATGCAAAGGTATATACATTAGTTTAGAACAATTCCGGATACATGGAACATCTAAATAAGTGTATGTGTTTGAATATGCAGGATATAAATGATGATAATGATGGTGAGGAAGAAGAGCGGATAAATGATGTTGTAGCTGATACTTAGGTATAGTTTTGAATTGTCAATAGATTGTAAATTTTGGAATAGTGGTTCAGAAATAATTAGTACTAGGAATAAATGTGGTGTTGATAATATTCTGGAGAACTGTAACTTCAAAATAAGTGCATGTGTATTTGAATATGCATGATACATATGAGGATGATGTTGATTCTCAACCACTGTCGCCCACTACAAGAAAAAACCACATTCTTATCATGAGAGAAATGCTATGTTACGTCATTCATAGCGTTTTCATAAATGCTATGTTATGCCTCTGTTATCGTAAGTACCCAACATAAGATAGCGTCTGATATGTATGCTATGTTAAAGACTTCTATTAAAGCATTACGGAAACGCTTTATATTCCCGTGTATTTATTTGTTTGAAATTATGTAATTACTCATTATTCATGATATTTTAGGGGACTCTACGATAGCTATATTAAAGCGATTTAGTTTATGTTTTTATAAGAAATATTTATGCTACGATATAGTATCTTATAGCGTTTATCTATTTTTAAAATTTTTTGTAATTACTTACTTATTGCAGTACATTAGATGACTGTAACATAGCATTTGTTAAATCTTACATTTTGATAACCAATAGATTTCGTAGCAGGTTTTTAAATGCCATTACATGTGTTTTCATGACAATGATTTATTTTTATGTTGAAATTAACACACCTGTTTTATTAAATCCCCAAATACATCATTCATTTCAAATCCAAAATACATTACACAAAACAAGTTTCACATAACAAGCTAACAAGTGTTTCTCCTTAAGATCCAAAACCAACTAAATGTCTGAAAACAAGTTTTACTAAGAAGTTTCACAAACCAACCTTCAGGCCATGATCACTTTGTCCTCAGGCCATGCAATAACTGTCCCAATGGCATCTTCCATAATCCCTATTTCATCTGATTGCCTCCAAACTTCTGCATCGCTAACTTTGACAATATCTACCGACACTTTAACTGCATTAGAACCCAAAGGAACAAAGTGAACCTTCTGGTTTGGATCATTTGTTACCCATCGTCCTTCAGCAACTATTTGATTCTTTCCGGTAATGTCCATCAACATGCACTTCTTATTTTCCTTTGAACCATTTTGCATGATACGCTGCCATGTTTACAACATAAAACAAAAGTCAGAAGATTTGACAGAAGTAACCAGACCAAAATAAATTAGACTTATCTATGACTTCCGGATAGGAGACTGTGAATCTGGTATAGTTTTCTTTACTGTAGGGCTTGGACGTGTTGCAGTCTCAATAGGAGATTCAGAACCTGATCCTGAAGATTTAGAGGCAGTTGACGCTGCTTTAGCACTTGTCTCCACAGATTGTGTCCCAACTACAGATTTAGATCCTGATGGTATATCAGTTGATGCAGAATGCTGTCCAGCAGATGGATTCTCAAAGCTAACTTTATTGACAGGCCATGAAACAAAAGCCATCAAACAGTCCTCAAGATATATCATATCAATTGTAGGCCTCCATATGAATGTTTCTGGTTGAAGCACTGAATCCACAAATACTTTTACTGCCTTTGGTCCAAGCGGTAGTCCATTAACCAATGCAGTTTCTTCTTGTGTCTGCCAACGACCCTCATCAACAATTACATCATCATTAGACAAATCCAGCAGTTTACATTTATTCAGAGAGTTTACTCTTAGGCCCTGTCAAAAACATTTAGAAAAACAACTCATCAAATACCAACTCATAAACAGGCTGAGTAATATAGTGCAACAATATAAAGTTTACCAAAGGCGCAATGTCTTCTATTTGGAGCTCCTTGTCCAAAAGAACACACTTAGAGGCTGGCCATGCAATAATCTGTCCAACAGCTTCCTCAATAGTAAACATCTTAGTTGCTGGTCTCCAGATGAATGCATCTGCTTTAGTAGCAGTTTCAACCAACACTTTAAGATCTGTAGGGCCTAGACGACAGTCATTCACTAAGTCATCAGGATCAGAAGATAGAATACGCTCCTCACCAATGTTTTCATCACTATCAGACCAATCAACCAAGACACACTTAGGGTGTGATCTTTTGTTTACACTCTACAAAATAGTTGATTAGAAATTAATTAAGTCAGAAATTACAATAGGAAGAAGGATTCATGGATCTGATATAAATTACTTACTCTCGCAGATGAGTTTTCACCTATTTATGGTTCTTGTCTCTATAACATAAAAGTATAATGTCAGTTCTATATATATATATATATATATATATATATATAATCTCAGCTGCTTGGATCATTAATTTTGTAATTGTGTAAGTAGCTAACCTGATTCTTCATTTTGCTAAGTTCCTCTTGCAACTCATTCACCTTCTTCAGTAACTGAACCTCCTTCTCTTGCATGTCAGTCATACACTTGGTCTTCACTTGGAAACAAGCTAATTTTGTCTTACTTATGCCTCTACCCATTGCCCGCATCCTACCAGGATTGTCAGGTCCTAAAAGTTGAGAGAGGTGATCTTCTTCTGGATTTGTTGTGGTTGTTGGAGCATCACTTCCAACAAGCTCAACTGCTTTCATCTGCAAAACAATGTCACTTGTTACTAATGGAAAACAAAATCATGTTAGAACAATTTGGGACTTACAATCTTTTCAGCTGCATTGGTATTCACTAGCGTGTCATCCTTTTTGGTACGCGACTTGACCCACACCTTCAGCCTAGTCACTTCAGATGGATCTCCACTTTTAATTTTCTGTTTAAAAGCAACACAACTTTGAATCTATATAATTTATAGATTAAACAAGAGAAACAGTAAAGATGATAGGATTATTACCACGTCCTCAGCAAGTCTGACCATTCCTTTGCGGCTAGTAGTATGAGGTATCTGTTTACTCCTCCTCTCTTTATATTTATCACTTACAGCCTAACAAGTAAAATTATTATGCTATCACCAATGAAATACAAAACTTAAATAAGGATAAACTCAATACCTTAAAGGATGTGCTTGTTTTGACTTTGACAAATCTTCTCCAATCTGTTGGAGATACATTCATTGGTCTCATATTCATCCTCTGTTGGTTATTAGCAGCCTCATTGATATCCTTGACAATGCGTGACTTGAATGACCTCCACAAATTTTCCATCCGCTTTAGCACATCAATCCTTTGAAACTCCTCATCAAGTTTGATATATCACGGATTTTACCGGTTTTAACCGTGATTTACGTGCTAGTTTTAGAGTCTTTTTGTTGTTCCTAGTGACTTTGTGAGTTTTTTTCAGTTTTTTACACGTTCTGGACGAAATTGGAAAAAAGGAATCATTCTGGAGCTAAACCGAAGATTTGGAGCTGAAGAGACGAATTCGGTTCGAACCAAGGCATGGGTGTCGACCGACACCCTTGGTGTCGCTCGACACCAAACACGGCCCAGCAAGAAGTCTCGACGGTTTAGAGTTTTAAAGCCCGCAGAATTTACCCAGAAGACTTCCCTATTTGCAATTTTAGTCCCTGCACGTTTTTGGAGACTTTATAAATAATTTTTAGGGTTTTTCTGTTTCTTTATCCTACAACCCTGCAATTCTGCATCTTGTTTTTGACTTTTGTAATTCTCTGAGCTTGAACCCTTTGGAAGATAATTGGAGATAGCTACTTTCAGAGATTTCAATACCTTGTTAGAGAGAAGATTTATTCTAAACTCTTTTCTTCTTTTAATTTCTTATTGCAATCTATTCAACATGTTTTCTGTTTCATTATTCATGTCTGACTAATCTCCCTGTTAGGTTTAGGGATTCTCAGTAGGGATTTAGATGAACTAATAAATCGATTACCTGTTAGGATTAATCCATATAGTTCTTCATCTAGGTTGTTCTTAATGCTTGTTCTAGAGTAGCTAACTAGAACCTGAACTTAGGATAATAGGTATTTGATCTGAGAGGGCACCTGTTACTGGAACTACCTTAGATGAGCCTGGTTTATAGGTGTGTAATAAGAATTGGCCTATCTACTAAGGTGAACATATCAAACCTGAATTTAATGCTAGTCTAGATCTAGGAATTCGCATCGAGAGGTGGAATTACTGATATTAGACTTGTTAGTTAGCGCATCGAGAGGTGGTTAGCTAGTCATTAGTGTTTTGAGTTCTAGAACAGTTCGTTAAATAATCCTACTTTATTTTCTAGATTTACTACTAGTTTATTTTCTGAGAATTTCCCTAAACCTGACGCTTTAATCTATTGAACTTTCACCTGAAATCATTGCTTGCTATTGTTTTATTTTAGTTTTAATTATTTTGTTTAGCCTAATTTCGAGACTTATAACTTGTTGTGTGAACAAAAGAACTTTGTGGAATTCGACCCTTAAGTACCGCAATAGATCTCTTATTTGAGAGAGTAGGCTTTAGGATCAATTTGACCTGTATCAAAGTTCAAACCTTGCCTGCAAAAACTTACCATCAAAACTGATATACTATAATAGAAATGTTACCTGAACATATTTCCACAAAACTGTTTTGATATCTTGACTAACATGCTTCCAGTTTCAATTATAACATGAACAAGTTCTCTAACCAATGTTCCAACGTATGATGACAGCTTCACTGACCCTGGACCATAAGGATCTCCCATGAGAGTGTAGTCAACTTTTTCTCTGACAGTTGGATCTTTGGCAATGTTTTTCATCTTAGTTGGTCCCCTATGTTTCTTACGCTTAGGCTGATGGTCTTCAGATAACTCAACCTCACCTTCAGGCTCATCCTGTACTCCATCTTTATCAGTGACTTCAGCTGGTAATCTCCCTTCAGCCTGAAATAATTTAACAGGCTGCTCTACTTTCTTACTGGTCTATAGTTCTTCTACAGTCTGCTCCACTTGCTTACTGGTCTGCTGGTCTTCTTCATGAATCTCTGGCTCAACAGTACCAATATACTCTGGCTCATCATCTTTTGTTGTATCCTTCTTTTTTCTTGATTGTTTCCCACCCTTCTTCTTTGGTCTGCCCATCTAATTAAGTCACCTCCATGACAGAAAAATTATGTAAACATGTCCATCTTACCTTACACAATAACTGACATACTATGAGCTAACAGACATCACAAACCAGAACAAAGCTTAAAAAAAAAAGGTACATTTGGCACATATATTCCTTCATAATCAGTTCTACCAGTTTATGCATCATCTATGTCAATATCCATGTCAACTATCCATCTCAACAGCTGCTTGCAATGGACCAATATCTGCATTTCCATCCTGAACATCTTCTTTACTATATCTTCTTGTAGAACCTCTCATAACAACAAACCAATTGGAGGAATCATCTTCCCTTGAATAAAATACTTGTTTTGCCGGAGATGCTAGTATGTATGGATCCTGCAAAAAACTGACTTGACCCTGATTCAAGTTAACAAGTGTGAACCCATCTTCCACCTTAACTCCATTACCTCTCACTGCCCATTGACACCGGAACAGAGGAACATAGAACATATTATAGTCTAGCAAGATGATGTCAATGATTCTGCCGTAGTAAGATACCAAATCAACCACCTGTGATGTATCTTTAGCACTAGATCTACACATAGTTGTAACCTCATAATAGACCCCACTATTCTGACTTTGCCTTTCAAGTGAGCTTGTTTGAAAATATTGCCCATTCACTATATAACCACTATAGGACCTTGCACTACACCGTGGACCATATGTCAGCCATTTAGTTGTATCTTCATGTCCATATGAAGAAAGAGGTATCTACCAAGATGCATATATTATAGTCAGTCAATTATATTTATATGAATCAGACTAAATATATACAAATTACAGAGAAATAGCTTGCCTTTTCTTTTAACCATGATGCATAGTTATTAGCATGCATAGACCATAACATTGATGCATCAGGTCTACACCTTGGATTAGTGACTTGTAGATGTTCCAAGTGCATGCTTGGAAAAGAGGATTACAAGAACAAAGAATCAAATTGCTATATTGACAATGTTATTGACACAATTAGTAGTTGACATAAACAGAACTTACTCAACAAAAGGATCCAAGGCAGCCATATTTTGAATGACTGCAAGATGGGCTATGCTCTTTTCCATCTGAGTAAGAGTAATTGCAGTTCCTACAGATAAAGGACGACCTTCTAGTATAGAACTGTTCTCATACTCTGTATTTCTCTCTTGTTTTTCTTCTACACTTGTTGTCTTCTTCAAAAAATCACTACAGAACTACTCACATTCTTCAGCGAGATATGACTCGGCAATACAACCCTCTAGTCTTGCTGGATTTCTTACAAAGTCTTTTAGAACTTTCATGTGCCTACAAAGTCAAAAATAAAAGATATCAGAGTGCAGACAATCACTTGATTATTGAAATGTAAAAACAACAGTTCAAAGAATGTATACCTCTCAAATGGATACATCCATCTAAAATAGACTGGTCCTCTAAGTCTAGCTTCTCTTCCTGGATGTACTGTCAAGTGTACCATGATATCAAAGAAGTTGGGAGGAAAAAACCATTCAAACATACAAAGTGTTTCCACAATTTCATGTTCCATTACTGAAATAACTCTATGTCAATGACTCTCTGCCACAAATGGTTGAAGAATGAACATAAGCGAAAGATTGATGTCCTAGGACCTTTTGGTAATAGCCCTCTAAGTGTAATTGGAAGAAGTTGTTGCATCAACACGTGAAAGTCGTGAGACTTGAGTCCTGTTATCTTAAAATCCCCTAAAGATACACCCCTTGATATATTAGAACAATATCCATCTGGACCTTTAATGTCAAATAGTGTTTAGCAGAATATTTTCTTCTCTTTCTTTGACAAAGACCAAGGTGCTGGAGGAAGATATGTTCTCTTTCCTTGTGTTTTTGAATGCAAATCCTTCCTTATACCAAGATCTTGGAGATCTCTACGAGCATTAAGACCATCTTTAGATTTTCCATAATGCAACATTGTAGAGACAATGTTTGAAGCCACATTTTTCTCTACATGCATTACATCCAGATTATGCCTTACATGGAGATCCTATAACAAATAAATATATAGTTAGATTGGATCCATACTTAATCACAGCTTAACTGATCAATTATGCAAATAATTCAACAAATCATACCTCCCAATAAGGCAGCTTGAACAATATTGATCTTTTCTTCCACCTTGATAATTCCTCCTGGTCTACTTCTACTTCTTCATCTTCCTCGGATTCACTAGATAAATCTGAATTATCAGAAACTGGATCAATATAGGCAGTCTTTTTTCTCTTCCTCCCAGAACCTTTAACATTTCCAAAATCATTTTTGAAGTTTTTCAGGTTTTGAGAGACTTCATGACCAGTTAAAATTATTCCCTTTCTCCCATGTTCAACCTTTCCATCAAACCATGTCTTTTTATCCCTATATCTATGTGTTCGTTCCAATCCCTTTCTATGGTACATATACACATGCTTCCTAGTAAACTTCAACCACATAGAATCTGTATTTTTTCCACATATAACATAGCCCATTTTACCTTTTACTTTGCAGCCAGCAAGATTACCATATGCAGGAAAGTCACTAATAGTCCAGAGAAGCATTGCCTTTAGAGTAAATGTAGTTTTACTATAAGCATCATAAGTTACCTCTCCCTTCTTCCAGAGATGATTTAAATCCTCAATATGGGGTTCTAAGTAGACATCAATGCTATTACCAGGTTGTTGTGGACCAAGAATAAGCAAGGTTAGCATTATGTTCTCTTTCTTCATACATAAGTGAGGAGGCAAATTATAGTTTACTAGCAGAACATGCCAGCAACTGTACTTAGTATTCTTCATGTTGAATGGATTGAAGCCATCTGTGGACAGTCCAAGCCGCATGTTTTTTTCTTCTGATGCAAATAAAGGGTACTTGTCATTCATCTTATCCTATGTAACATAATCGACAGGATGGCGAAGTTTGCCATCACTGCTCTTGTTACTGAAATACCATCTTAAGTCCTTGGCCATTTCCTCTATCCTAAACATTCTCTTCAGCCGCGGGATTATTGGAAAGTACCATTATACTTTATGTGGTACACCTTTCTTGACTTCACCAGTGTGCATATTAATCTTCCACCTTGAAGCATTGCATTTGGGACAATTTTCCAGCTTCTTGTACTTCTTTCTGAAAAGACAGCAGTCATTTACACACGCATAAATCTTTTCATATCCCATATCAAAGCTCTTCAAAAATTTCTTCACATCATACAAGGATGTGTGAAGAACATTACCCTTGGACAACATTTTTGGCAGTGTCTCAAGAAGCTCATCAAAGCTCTTTGTCAGACCATCCATTCTTAGTTTTAAGCCTAAAGAGAGACACCATAGCCGATAGCTTGCTGTGGTTTAAACAATCCGGATATAAAGGGGTTTTTGCATCTGCTAGCTTAGCTAGGAACTCATCTTCTCTCTTGTCCTCACCCTCTACAATCTCACCTAAGTCAGCCAGTGGATTGTCACCTAGGTCACCATTTCTAGCCAACTCTTGGTCATAGTATTCAACAACTTTGTATAACTCAAGAATTTCCTCATTCCACTGATTTACTTTCCTTTTACATTCTCCATCAGCAACTGAGTCTCCATGATGGTACTAATCACTTTGCAGCTTGTAAGACTCATTCAACCCTCTTGTTACAAGATGAACCACCACATCACTACTTGAGTGGCGGTATACATCACGACAGTCTTTGCATGGACATATTGTTTTATCTATATCTCCTAAAACCGCAACCACATCAAGTACAAATCTCCGAGCACCTCTCTCATAACCATGATCAACTCTTCAATGAAGAAGTAAAGTAGAAAAAAAAAGCTCTTAAAGTTTCTAAACCCCATTTTAAAGCAAACCTATCTATATAATTTTATTCCTTACCTGCATAGATGCACCCATGCCTTGTCCAACATTATATGTTATAAGCTTAAATAAAACCTTATTAACACAAAATTGAAACCATAATCAACAACCGTCACAGAGCAACATCTCATGATCAGAGAACTTATCATGATCAGACAACTTATCATGAAGAGACAACTTAAACTGAACCCAATGCTAAAGACATACTAAGCATTAAGCAACTTACACTATCTCAGAGACAAAAAATTAACAAAACAAGAACAGTGACAACAACTTTAACAAAACCACCACAGTCACAACAACTTCAACAAAACCACAACAGTCACAACAAATTTATCAAAACCAAAACAGTCATACCATTTAGAATCAAAGAATCAAAGCCACATTCACAGACTAACCTGTCGTCTGAGTACAACAAAGGCAAGCTTCAGTTCCCCAACATTTCAATCACCAACACTTGCCAAAAAAATGCATAATCAGTATAAGATAATACAATGTAGCTTTAAAAAAAAATTCTGATAACAAATCGATTAGGAGAAATCTAAATCGCAAAAACAAGATCTTTGTGAAGAGAATGTGGATTAAAATGTTTAAGAGACATCAAAATCGCATAAGTTTTCTCTTGACCCTAATTTTAAACAAATCGAAGAACCCTAATTTGAAAATGTCAAACAAATCCGATTTTCCGTACCAATCTACTGAACTAGGTCGAAATTAGAGATAGGAATAACCGAAAAATCAATAGAAATAGAACTTATAGAAACGAAGAAAGACATGCCTCTATTTGAGCTCACTGACGGCGGCTGCACTGGAGAATGTGGCTACAGCAGAGTACAAATCCGACCTTAATACGGCGCAGAGGTTTGAGTATGAGGTTTGAGGTTTGAGATTTGTGCTAAATCTGAGCTGAATCTGAGTTTTTGTCGGAAAGAAATGTTGAGAGAAAGGGTTTTGTTTTCGTTAAGTGTTTTCTCGATTGAAGAGGAATCTGAGGCGCTAAAGGATTTTTTTTGTTAAGTGTTGGCGGATTAAGTCATTTTAGATTCCCGCTCATTAAATTTCTATCATAGCATTTATCAACCGCTATTACAAAGAAACCCAAAAAAAATTAAATCTACCATAGCAGTAACGGAAAATGAGCTATCCTCGTGTGCTATCAATGTTGATATTTGTTGTAGTGGCCAGAGAGTATGTTCTTTGGTCCAACTCAGTACACCAAGGTCTATAAGATAGAAAGTAGGTATCAATTGGGCCAAACAGTGGCAATGGTAGAGGGAATGGATGCATAATTGAGGTGGTAAATAAGCATGATCAGTTTAAGCATATTTTCTACATGCCTAAGGAACCAAATCATATGATTCAAGGCATGTGGATGCTTATGGTTTACACCGCTAAGACGGAGATGGTGAGAGAGTGTTGGTTTGTGGTTAATGGATTGCTTATAAGGTATTCTATGAAAGAGCATGCGTTGTTGACCGGATTACCCGAAAAGGGTAAGAAGAGACAGAAGAAATAGGAGAGAGTGAGGCTTATGCTTTTGGGTACCCCCAAAATACTTTTCATAACTTTAGTAATTTTGTGGTTATTGATGGGTTGTGTTGATGAAACAGTTAAGGTATTTTGTGTATTTAGGATTAGGATTCAAACAGTTTAGTATCTTTTTTGGTTATTATTGGTTAGCTTTATTTAATGTTGAACTTCTTATGTATTTTGGATTTTGGATTTAGACATTATAGTGTACTGTAATATATGCAGCTGGTCCAACTGAA